GTAAGATTATTTTGCGTATTATTTCTTAAAACAATACAATCTTTCGACTAGAAACAAGACAAATAAACCCAAGAAAGAAAATCATTTTTAACATATTCATTATTACGATTTATTGTTTTTCGGCAAATGTCTACTTTGACAGCATGCAAAATATACTGTTTATACAAGATATATTGGTGCTTAATTACATAATAAAGATCAGTTTTAATTTTCAGCCTTATTCCTGATGTTGACATTTTTACCTGCAAGATATTTGATAGTGTCCAGTTTGTGTGCCTCCAGCATGGTCTTCAGGCCAGCCACTTCTGTGTCGATTTTCATGTTGGTCTGTGTCACATGACGATCCTGCTCAGAATTCTAAGAAAGAAACTCTGGTTTTAAAAAGTTTCAGAGTGAAAAGATAAAAATCAAAACGACATTTTTTGTCATAAACATTGGCACATCTTACCATTTCCAACAGTTCATTCCTGGTCCCAATAAGTTTTCTGTTAAAGTCTGCCCACTAAAAGAGCAAAGAGCAAACACATTCGCTTCATCACGTATGCAATTCTAAACTGCACAGTGCACACCTCAAATAAATAACAAATCTTTAGTTTCAAGGCATGGTGAAGATCCAAATTACAAAGATGATTTTATATATACTTACCATCTCCTTTACACGGCTTTTTTCTATGTTCAGATCCAAAATGATATCTGCTCGCCTTTTGTTTATTACATCCTATAGCACAGAATCAAAATTTAAAACTACAATGACTAGAGCAATAAATAGATGCTAAAACTTTCCTTTTACTAAATGAAACCTTTCTTTTGAAAATAAATCAGAATTGTTCAATCAACTTACTGCGAGTTGTATCCTAAGCTGTAACAGCTCAACCTTGATTTTCTGTAAAAGAAGTAACATATATCAGAACTCTTTACTGGGTGAATGCACAATACTGTTAGGTCAACTGAATTGTAATTAATCTATAATTTACTTAGTCAGTGGTACACATAAAAAGAATGTGCAAAATGTACATATTAATTAACAAAAAAAATACAACAAAATGAAAATTGTATGTACATGTTTACCTATATAAAGAGAGAGATTTTCACTTCTTTAAACATATTTTTTTCCTATTCCCCTTCCCTTACACCCATTCCCATCAATATGCCCAATTATATTACTACTACTATTATTATTACGAATAATAATAACAATGAAGTTATTGATGTGATCTGTTTATTTTATTTGCTGATTATTTAATTTTAAAAAGACTATTTAAATATATTTAGTAAAATATATACATATATACACATGCATACATTTGTACACACTATCATTTAAAAGCTTGTGGTCTGTATTTTATGTTATAAATACTTTTAATAAGTAAGCATTAAACTGATAAAAAGACATCTATAATGTTAGAAACACTTTCCATTCCAAATAAATGTGCTTATCAAATGTTTTAGTTATTTAAAGAAAGTAAGCCACACAACAATATTAGGTCACACTTTAGATTAGGTGACCTTAACGATGTACTTACACTGAAATTACTATTTTGTTAAAATGTACTTATTGTGTAAATACATGTTTTACATTGTACTTACCTGCATGTTATTACACAGTAGAATTATTAAACCCATATTATTATTTTTTCTTTTCTTTTTTAAATATATCTCAAATTATGTTTAAAAAAGCAATGGAATTTTCACAGTATGTCTGATAATATTTTTTTCTTCTGGAGAGAGTTTTATTAGATTTATTTTGGCTAGAATAAAAGCAGTTTTTAATTTTTAAAACACCAATGTAAGGTCAAAATTATTAGACCCTTTAAGCTATATATTTTGTTTGATAGTCTACAGAACAAATCATCGTTCCTCTCGCCATTAAAAAGAAATTGCTGAAATAAATAAAAATGGGGGGGGGGGTAATTCAGGGGGGCTAATAATTCTGACTTCAACTGTTTGTAATAAATTTCTGTAATTACATTTTTAAATACACAGTTGACCATACCTTACACCTTAATCCAACCTTAAACACATCTATACCACCAAACCTGTCCCTAACGTTACCCGCATCCCACCTTAAGAAGCGTTCTGCAATACATTATGAACACAGTAGTGGGACCCAAAAATATTTTTATTATGTCTATTATTAATATCATGATCAAATCCTTTATTAGCACAAAGTATGTAATATGTATACATACAGAATACAGAAAACTGATTTTCACCTACAGTATGTACAAGTGTCAGTGAGTGATGGTGACATTAGGCTATTAAACACACATGATCATCAAAGTTCTCACCTCATTCTCCGCCAGTAGTGCAGAGAATTCACTCTTCTCCAGAATGATCATGTCCTTTTTCACAGCAGCAATATGAGACATGACTTTCTGCAACATGATTTCCTGTAAAACACAATTAGTCAAGCAATCAGTTTGACCACCTATATGAGGAAAGCTGTATGAACAATAACAGATGAGTGTGTACATGAAACATCACATCTCACTCAACTTTGGTAAATCTCAACTTTAGCCATGACTTAAACACCTCTATTAAAGAATCAAATCACCTCTATCTATGAATTCTCATCCCAAAACCTTATTTCACCAGAATTACTAGCCATTGTGTGTGTGCGTACATGCTTCTAAGCTGTCTGTTATGTTTTCTCTCTTACAAAACCCAATGTACAGTAACTGAGCTGTCTGTTTTTTGGGCTGGGCATGTCTCTGATTAAATATTTGATTTTCAGATCATGGTGAAATCAATAGTTGATGCTCATAGTTCTTTAGTCTATGCAAACAATCAAAACAGCTCAAAAGCCAATGAAAATCTCACCTGCTGTGTCTTGGTAGCCATGTCACTGTACATAATATCCATGTTTGAGTTAGTGATATTTACCATCATTTTGACTATGACCTCTGCCTGCTGGGTCATGAAACCTGCAAGGACACAGAGCAAGATGATGAGTCACTGGCCTAGAAATGAACCAGAATGTTTTAGAAACATGAGCAACAAATCGTACCGCTTTCCTCGAGCAGCTGGACCATTGCATGAGTGTCGAAGAATAACTTCCTATTGCCAGACTTGGCCATGTCGGATCTTTTCACATCATACTGTAGAGCTTGAGCTGAAGTGCTCAACTCTGAAATAAAGACAATGGTGGACGAGTATGTTAAAAAACATGATCAAGTTCAACATCAGTGAACTTTCAAACATATAAGTTATACCAAGTACGTAACATTACCTCTGAACACCCTGTGTGAAACTCTCGGCAGCAGAAGAGCAGACCGATTAGGTCTTATTCCGTTAAATGCGCTGATGCCGGCGATCAGATGTCTGCCGTGTGGACACCTCATTCTGCTGAAGCCTTGACTTAACCACTTGATAAACTATATGATCAAGTGAACGAACTTTAAAATGTTGGAGGATCTCGACGGTACGAGTCCTGATCTGACCTCATGATCTTCTTCGATCGTCTTCAAAAGTCAATACATTAAAAAAGACTTCTTAAACATAGAACTCAACCAATCACACATTATTCTTTACTCTAAAACAAGAATGTAAAGTTAACTTGCTTTTCTTTCTGTTTAACAGATCCGATCACCTTTAGTTAAACTTCCTGTAACTGAAATCGTAAACAATGACGTTTTACGCACACGTGCTGGTGTCGGCTGATGTGAGTACATTATGGAAGGCCGTTGGGGCCAAAACGTGTGTAACAAACGCGTTTATAGGTTGTAAAGGCTGATTTATAATTCTGCGTCAAGCCTGGTTTATACTTCTGCGTCAAGTGACTGGCGTGACCCACGGCGCATGCCATGCGTGTTGCCGTGCATTTATACTTCTGCACGCTGTTTGTGTTCCTTCTCCTATAACACTTCTGAAAAGCTAGCGGGCAGTGAGTTATGTTCCTCTGTGTCGAGTTTCTTAGCTGGTGTTTTGTTTTTTCTGAATGCTTCCTTAATGTACAAGTAGCTCTAACTCGCTCATTTTAAGGCAGGAACCAGCGGACGTGCAACTTTAATCATAAGGTAAACTTAAAACATAACTTTTCATATAGAGCTCCTTCACAGGACTCCAACACTCGCTCTAAGGGACTCACTCGGCTCTTTGTCCTGCCCAAACTCGTCAGCGGTACCAAGCCGACCAATCACAGAGCTTGCGCTATGTGTTGTTGTAAAGTGTAGTTAGATTTTTTGAGAGGTGCGCGTCAGGAACTCCGACGGCAGCAGCAAGGGCGTAGGCTGCACCAAACCATACGTGTGCGCTTGACGCTGAAGTATAAATCAGCCTTCAAGCACACGCAGACTTCGCGCTCTCCTTGATGATTAAAGTCTGCCAGTTCCTGTCTCTGAATGAGCAAGTTTTAGCTACTTTTAGCATTCAGAAAAAACAAAATACCTGCGAAGAAACTCGACACAGAGGAACATAAAAACCTACTGCCCGCTAGTGTTTTGAAAGTATTATTCCAGAGAAACAAAAATAGAACGCAGAAGTATAAATGCATGACCGTGAGTCACACCGATCACTCAACACAAAAGTATAAATCAGCCTATAAATTACGTGTTAGCACGATTTTTTTAAACTAGTCTCATTTTTAAGCACTATCGTTTATTAATTTCTCCAACCTGCTAATTTAAGTTTAAAATGTATAACTTAATTTCACTTAAATCACAATAAATGTTTTACAGTCAATGATCTGTAGCAGACTTAGTACATGTTATAATTTTTTGGGGGTTTTCAATGGCCTGATTCTTTTACAAGTTTATGAAATTATTGCGATTAAGTATTTTTATTGTTTTTAAAGGCTAGAAGCTTAGCCGTCACAAAATGTTTACTGTCAACCTCATAGGTCTAACTAAATAATAAATAAGTTTTATATTTTTACTCATCTTTAGTTTTTGTAACACTGTTTCCAAACGTCTACAGTTTAAACACCTGATTTGTTAATTTGTTTCCAATATGCAGGAAATAAAAACAGGAAAATGTCACCAAAAACAGACAGACTGACTGCGTATCAGGCTCTTACGGCTAGATCTAAATGTTTATTTTAAAAATGTTTGTTGGTTTTACAAAATACAACATTTGTGAGATACTTGTGAGATATTGAAGATATTTAACAATACATTAAAAAGAAACACGAAAGGATCATCAACATTGTTCAAAATCCTTTGCTAATTGACATGATTGAAATACACTTCTTCAGATGTCTTTGAAAAAGTTACCTTCATTTGAGGTAATTACAATATTTCAGTTTTTTTCTGTAAACTTGTAAGTTGGATTTTAATATTGACTAACCCATAGCCTACTTGTTTATAATACTTGACTGGTTATTATTACTGACTAATACAGTATTTTTAAAAGCAAAGACTTTTTATTGCTTCAGGCCAGTCTTACATGTTTCTAGACAGGTTTGATTTAAGCTAAATAATGAATTAAAAATCAACCAATTTAAAAATCAAATAATAGATAAATACATGTGTGCAACATATCACAGCCCTATGCATTTCCCTTGACAGTGTTCTAAGAGGACAGTACAGGATTGCTATAGGTGCATTTAAGGTTGCGTCATTGCTCTTGCTATAGCCCAAATCTAAAATAGATGAATAAAGTTCTGGTATGATGATGAACCACCCTATGACTACAACCTCTCAAAACACAAGTCTGTTTCTTAAAAGTAGACTAAATATGAAATCAGATTTTGCTTCTTGCCCAAATATTATATAATATTATATATTAATCTGAATTAAAGCACAATAAAATTCATAATGCTTTCTTTTGATCATACACTCGCAATTAATGGCAAAGATGGATTGATTTGTAAAAAGGACTCACATATAGGCTCTGTTGAATTCAACATAAGGAACTGTTGATGATAGGTACAAAGATATTTTTATGATGACTGTTGATGTTTGGCCGATCACAACTGAATATGCCTCCAGCAAAAGAAAAGTGATCATGCTAAGACTTCAGACCAGGAACACCACACACACTGAAAGCACCACAGCAAACATGGCCACACCGCACAGCATCATTGCAGCAAACATCTGGCTACGACTGCAGAAACTTTGAGCTGCCTCTTCATCCATGGACAGCAGTGCTAGCGAGGTGCTGTCAGTGCTAACAGGGTCTGTGTATTGAGGACCCACAGCCTCCACCGTCCAGCGAAGCACATTGACCTTCATCTCCATGTCATCCAGCGTTCGGTCCACCTGAGCGATCTCCTGCTCCAGCTGACTTTGCTCCTGACCCTCCACACTAGAGGTCTGGGTACCGGCCCCAGCCTCCTGGAGGTCAGGCAGACTCAGGGCACGTGCAGCCACCTCTGTCGCCCCCCCTGCTTGAGCAATTATGTGTATTAGTCCAATAAAACAGCCACATTTAAGATGTTTGTAGAATATACAGAAGTTTTTTTTTTCTCACTG